CACGAGGAGTTGCCTCAGGGTCCAAGTTCATATCACAATAAACGTTAAAGCCCATTCATTGCACTAAACTTCGTCATCAATTCGATTATTGAACAGGAGGAGTAATTTTTTTGAAGGGTACAAAATGAACGCAACCATATAAATTTGCGGTTCTATTAGCCGGTGGAGAGGTTGAAATCCCGCAGACGGGCTCTGACTTTTTATTTTCACTCCAGGGTTCAGAGTAGATTGGGCTTAGCTGTTTCAGTGCTAGAGAGAAGGAGCCCACTCCGATTGGCCTTTTGTGTCCAATGAACACAGAAATGTGCGCACACACAAAAAAAAAATAAAAAATTCATGACGTTATTTTTTCCGACTACGCCTTCCATGCATACAAAAATGGAGTTTTAACTAAACTAGATTTCAGTATAAGCTGATGGAACTAATTGACACGTTGAATAATGATTATAGTTGATTGGGAGGTTATTTCTTATTGAATTCTTCAATTAATCCTTTTTGAGCAGGAAAGGACGATAACAGGTGATAGTGGCACATGGGCGACTCAAAACACCCCCCCCCCCCAAAAAAAATCAAATGAAAAGAAAAACCACACACACACACACACAAAGGCGCATAGGTCATCATTTCTTCCGATGCCAAATGTCTAGGATTCAAAATCTAAGCAAGCATCAGTTAAGTAATCTGGTGGTTTAGAAAAACTAATGATGACTTTGCATTGAAATTCCTGTTGACGTGGGCAGAAATATTTTGAGACTCATGATTTCGATTAACATGGCCCACAACTCAGCTTTTCAAAAGATAAGCGGGGTTCTTCATTTAAAGCAAAGACACTGTGTAAAACTCATGCCAACCAAAAACGAAAAAAGAAAAAAAAAAAAAGGAAAAACTGTCTCTAATTAAAGCTACCATTTTCCCCTCTGCAACTCTTATTTATATATATATATATATATATCTCTTTCAGGGACACGCACTTTGTAACAGCAACCTTCTTAGCTCTACCAACGTCTCCTCCCGGCTAATTAATAGAACAGATCTCTGTGTCCCTGCAAAGTCAATATGAAGCAGTTTATTACTAGCTAATTGGATTCATTGAGTTGCTTGAAATATAATTAAGCAGTTGCAGGAGAATCCAGACTAACGAGAGTTAAATTGATTGGACACGACCAATATAGGAATTAAACAAAACAATGCATAGTTTCTTCTACAGTTTAAGAAATGGTTGTGTTTTGATTTTTACTGCATGTGAGCTTTTTTCTCTGTTACTCCTTATTTACCCTTGGTTAAAAAAGAAGAAGAAGCAAAAGTGATTATTGATTCACTTTAATTTCTTTTGATTGGAAGGAGTGAAAAGTAGAAACAAAACCGTATGAATATCTGGAGATACATGACATATATATGCCTGCAGTCTAAGAAATGCCTCCGGAGCATTAATTGTGAAAAGATCGTAGATAGTTGTCTCTCATGAATTGTCAACATGTGAAAGGGAACCTTGTAGAAATGATGTAAGCTCTCGTATGCAATCGACAACGATGGAAGCTCTTCGTTTAGGGGCAAGTCACAGGAGAATCCACCAGAAAATTCTGAAAATTACGTACCTTAGCTGACAACATCTAATCTATATGCGCATATATCATCATGGAGGGGATTGCAAGGTACGTATATAAAATAACTTGTAGGGCTGCAACATCGTTATCTGATAGAGGGTTTGAACATTTAAATTGTATAATAGAGTGCAGACAGACAGATAGATGGACGGATATGAAAGAGATCAGATAAACGCGAGCAACCGATTGAAGGGTGTGAAAATGTTACGTTAGCTAGGATGAAGTTCAATAACGTGATGATGGTGCGTATTTGCAGTTGCAGAGATGAATGGCCCCATGTGTTCATTGCAACAATAAAGAGATTCAGAGGGATTTTGTCGGCTTTAGTTTTGTTGGTATCCGAAGCAGTGAACCTCGAATTTTAAGCAATTTGGCGTCTAACAAGACAAGCGTTTTCACTGCTGGAAAGATCCATTATTTTAATTAGGTCTGAAGAATCAATCAACGGGTAGTGTGTGGTGACCACACAAATTTAAAGATTGATATCCGAGATCACCAGGGTCAAGCACCCTCCAAACATGGGTTCGCTTTTAAAAAAAAAGCGTATAATGGTCATATCTTGATTTGGTTTTGTTTGTTTGTTACTGTTGGAACTAATTGATTTTGGTCTTTGTTTCCATTCCAATTAAGTATTCTTTCTTTTGGGGCCCTCCCTGCAATATATATACATATGCCACTGTTTATTTTGGGGATAGTCTCTGTACTTTACTTTCATTTCTGCTCTTTAAAAGTAGAAAACATCGCGTATATGTTACTTGAGGAAGGAAAACAAATAGAGAAGAAGATGACAAAAACAAGAACTATCATGTTATTTTGAAATACTGATTCAGTACTTTTACTAATGCAAAATTTAAAGGTACGTTTTCCGATCTTAATAAAAGGCAAACAACATTATTTCAGAATGCCTGATGATTCAGACCCGGCCCCCAGGTAGGCATGCTAGGCTAATTAATTAATAAGAGAGCGTAATAATTCAGATTATATAACAAGTGATTGACGAAATAGTTTCGGAATAAATTATCTACTTGTTAATTACTTGTTAAACTTATCCTGTCCAGAGTTGAATTCTTATCTTCAAGCTTGGGTCTAGATATTGATATACACGTGTAGAACACCTTTAACTTTAACTCGTGTACGTGTCTGCATGCATGGTACTTTAGATTATTTAAATTTTTTTAATTAAAAAAATTGATACGACTAATAACATTATCTGTATTTATGGGAAGAAAAGGAAATGAAAGAAATTACAAGTCAGAGATGAGTGGCATAGGTCGGAAATGAGGGAAAATGGAAGGCATGGAAGCGAGAGGGAAACCTGATGTATGGTATAAATGGGATATATCGAGAAAAAGCAATTTAGGAACTGAAGTGGAAAAGAAAATTAAAGGGAGGCCAAAAGGATTAATATAAAGAAAGAAAGAAAGAAAGAAAGTGAATGAGATAGGAAAGTGGGGGTTGGGGACAGCCGCAGACAAATATTCCTGCTTTGCTTTTCAATGTTTGCTTTACTTTCTTTCTCAACATTCACGCATGCCCATGTTCTCATCACTCTCACTCGACGCTCCCAATTTAATTACCTCCCTTAAAAAATAGTCAAATACTCTCCTACCTCTAATTTTGCTCACATTAATTATACTACTGATATATGCTCCTTTTCTTGGGTATCAGCAAGCTAAGGCCAACCCATATATAGTCTCGTCTCAAGGGTTTTCTTCTCTTTTTCAGAACGAGAACAATTAATTTTTGTGCTTCCTGGGCAGTATAGGCATAATAAGTAATTGAAAAAATTAAATTTATTCCTTATAGTTTTAACTTAGTTGTAACTTAGTCTTTCAATTTTATCTTGTTATAACTCTGCCTCTGAAGTTTTGACTCGATTATAAATCATCCCTAAATTTTGCCTCTTACAATTTAATCCTCGAAATTTTAACTTCTTAAATATTGATATCTGTATTTTAAAAAATAAAAGTATAAAGATTAAAAATATTTTAAAATTTTAATGTCTATAAAGATTAAAAGGGTTTAATAATTTAAAATATTAGTAATGAATTTTAAAATATTTTTAATTTTTATAATTTTATTTTTTAAATATAAGGATCAATATTTAAGAGGTTGAAATTTCAGGGAATAAATTGCGAGAGACAAAGTTCAGAGACTGATTTACAACTAAATCAAAACTTCAAAGATTAAATTATAATGAGTAAAAGTTTAAAAACTAAATTACAACTAAGTTAAAACTATAAGGATAAATAATTAATTTTTTTAAGTAATTATATTATAGTCATGTGGATAAGATAAGAGTGTGCTTGATTAATTACGAGTATTACTTTGTTTTCCTATAAGGAGGAAGTTTTCTTTGTCCAAATTCTTCGTGTGTGTGTGTGGCTTCCACCAGTCTCAAACAACATAGATTAAATGTGATTGATTAATTGGGTCTGTAACAACCAATGTCCTTTCTTTCAGGTAATGTACACAGTGATATGTAGCATATGTCAAAAAATCATATATTCGATTCCTATGATATGTTGAATCGAAGCTCCCTTTTAATTTACCGTCCGTTAAGGAAAAAAAAACTTTCTATGTGACGTGAAAAGGTAATTTTGTATTTAATAATTAGGATTAAAAGCAACTAAAGTTGATGTTAATTGACCTCTAACATGATAATTATATTCCTGATGACATGACAAATAAAGACACAGACTAAACAATTTTATTTTTTGAAAGCATGAAAAAGCTTACTTTATCGATACGAAAGGCAAAGTGAAGGAAAGTCAAGTATAATTTTTGAAATAAAAGGAACGCTACCAAGTTTAATTTAGTCAAACTTACAAATAAGAAAAAGTTAGCATTCTTCACCCAGATATTTTAAGGAGAGGTGCTTGATCATAAAATTGATAGCTGTACGTAAGAAAAGAACAAGTTACCATACAATTTTGGCACAAAAAAAAGTTACCGTACAATGAATTTTTTTATTAAAAAAATTAACTGCGAGCTTATTAGTTTAATATAAGGTTGACAGACCTCGACGAAGCTAAATAGTCCAGTGGTTTTACTATTAATTTTAGTCCAAAAGTATTTGACATGATTTGACCAAGAGCCTTGGTTTGAGGATGAATGATGGGGCACATGTGCACCCTGTAGAGGGTAGCTTTATGAACAAATTTGCTTCAACCTCACCTGCTCGTGGTAAGGTGAGGGGTCAATGAAACAGCAACAAAAGAAGAGCAAGAAAGCTCGTGTGGCAAGGGGAAAAAAAGCTAAAAAGCCTTAAACAAAGCTATCTCAGAAGCCAACAATCGCTTTTTCCTCTCCCTCCCTCCCGCTCTCTCTTATCTCTCTCTCAATCAAAACTTTCTTTTCCTTCCTTCCTTCCTTCCTTCTTTCTCTGAATAAAGCTGAATCCCACTATTCCCCCAACTTCTTTAACTTTAGCCAGTGGTAGTGCTGGTTAATTGCGAGGATTGATCAGAGTTGACATAAAAATTTCACCATGCTAGACAATAGTGCTAATTCTTCTGATGCGGCTTCCTCAGAAAATAATGGAGCGATCCTTCCCAAAAGAAAAAGAAGACCCCCAGGCACACCAGGTAACTAAATATATAATTAACGGTAGTTACTTAAATAATTAACAGTAGTTACCCTTCTCATTACTGCGGGTTTTTTCCCTCCCTTGTGCAGATCCAGATGCTGAGGTCGTGTGTTTGTCACCGAAGACCTTGTTGGAATCAGATAGATATGTGTGTGAGATCTGTAATCAAGGATTTCAAAGAGACCAGAATCTGCAGATGCACAGAAGAAGGCACAAGGTACCCTGGAAGTTGCTGAAAAGGGAGACTAGCAGCACGCAAGAGGTGAAGAAGAAGGTGTTTGTGTGCCCTGAGCCTACTTGTTTGCACCATAATCCTTGCCATGCTCTTGGAGATCTCGTGGGCATCAAGAAGCATTTTAGGAGGAAGCATAGTAATCACAAGCAGTGGGTTTGTGAGAAGTGTTCTAAAGGATATGCTGTTCAGTCTGATTACAAAGCTCACCTCAAAACCTGCGGTACCAGAGGCCATTCGTGTGACTGTGGTCGTGTCTTTTCCAGGTAAAATATACCATAACATTCCAATTCTTACTTCAGAATATCAAGTCATGTCTTGTTTCTGTAACAGTAGAATTAGCTTTTGAGACATCTCTATTTTTCATTTCCCATGTCAATTTCTGTCTCTCTCTTTCTCTAGTTCACCCTCGTTCAGTTCTATAAAGGAAACAAAATTTCACTGCAAAGTCAAGCCCTAAATTCTTTGTTATCAGGTTGGTACTTGGTACACAGAGGAGCAGAAATCAATTGCATCTGATATCTGACCAGTGATATGGATATGTTGATGAATAGTTTCAAATTCAGAATCAGAAGCGTTATCTTATGGGAACCTTTTGCGAGGACGCACTATGATTAATATTTAATTTAATACCCCCACTTTGAGTAATAGTACTTAATTATAATTATATTTAAATGATAATCGACACCCCTAATAAGCCATGTGAGGATATATGATAAATATAATTCTCTTCACGTGTAAATGTAGAGACCCCATTCTATCTCTTGACTTATTTTTTAAGCACTGCTAAATATTAAATTGGAACGCAACCGCATAATCATCTTATACTAGATATTGATTATATATACTCGATTTTTTTTTTTTTAAAAAAAGATTTGCCTCCTTTGTTTCCAAGCTGCATGTACGTGCATGTCATTCCTGAATGACCAGGCCGGTTATACCACACTATTCCCCGCTTCAGTTTTTGTAATTATTCCAGACAACATGCCCAAATTAATCATATTCTCGTTAAAATTAAAATTTGAATTATAAGGATAATTTAGGAAGACTTTACTTTGGTACTGTTTCTATGAGGTTATAATGACTTAAAAACCGTACAGAAAAGAATTTGGTAATTAATGAACTTCCAGAAACCTACTTTATTATCTTTTTTTTACATGTAATGTAATGTTTTGTGGCTTCATTGTTTCAGGGTTGAGAGTTTCATTGAACATCAAGACGCGTGCACTGGTCGAACAGCTTCTAGCACTAGTCCATCTAGTGAAGCCAATTTAGTTTCATTAATGCAAGGCTTGCCTGTGCCAAAACCACCCACTTCTCATAGACATAATAACTTAGAAGAACTCCAGCTCTTACGTTGTTCTTCTTCATCAGACGCTCTAGGAAACCGAGGCTCTGATCATGAGGAGGATAACAACCACGAAACTGATCAAACCCATCTGAAGCTTTCAATAGGGTCATTCAGTAACAACAATAAGAGCAACAAGAATGTTGCGAGTAATAATGAAGCGGAAGCGGAAGAAGCACCGAGGTTAAGGGAAGTGGGGCGGTTGAAAGAGTGCGCTAGTGAAGAGCTCAAGTTGGCGATGGCTGAAAAGGCATATGCAGAAGAAGCTAGAAGAGAGGCTAAGCGTGAGATAGAGATGGCCGAGTTAGAGTTTGGGAGAGCAAAGAGGATAAGGAAGGAAGCTCAGGAGGAGCTCGAGAAGGCTGAGGCTTTGAAGAAGCAAGCCATGATGAAGACGAGTTCCACTCTGATGCAAATTACTTGTCAGGCTTGTAAGCAACAGTTCCAATCCTCCATTCTTGCCGGGTTTCATCAGAAGAGACATCTCTTGTGATGAGCTGCATGTCCTCACCCACCACTGAAGGAGAAGGAGATCAATAACCTTAGGTAGCTACAGTCTTCAAGTGCTCCTTGTTAGGGCCTCCCAACCAATCCGGATTTCCAACACACACAAATTAAACCAGATGATGAAGAGGATAAAGAAGAGAAGTGAATCTTTTACACACTTTCACTCTCTAAATACATTTACATACAAGAGCACTCTTTTTCCGACCCCTTTTTTTTAGTTTGATAATGGTAACAGATATTTGAAAATTTTTGCTTGAATCTTGTCTATAACTTAAGTTATTGCTAGAAAAAATGATCATTGACGAGTAGAAAGATGGTTCTTTTGTAATTTGCTTTTGGTTTTGATCTTTTTTGTAGTCAAACGAATTATGCAGTCGTGCGTTTCTAAGTCTGAAAATTAATTCCTGTATTCGTTGAACAAGTGCTGTGTGTGTGTGTGTGTGTGTGTGTGTAGCTGAAGCCTGTTTTGTCGTCTTCTTTTCTTAATTATATATAGTCATAGAATATCAGGCTTATATTACATGCATGTTTAGAATACTTCAGCTCTTTTGTTTGATTCCTATTGTATTTTGTTCGTTCAACGATCCGTTGGATGTGGCTAAGAAGGTAAGAAATGAGCAAGTTAATGGTTACCGTGGCTACAACCCAAGAGATTATATCCAAGTCCTAAGAATACCATTGTTCCTTTCATCATCAGCCATCAATGCAAGATCGTGGGTGATTATAAAAGCATAAAAATTAATTAGCATGTAACTCATGTGTCTGTTCAGCTGGAATTAATAACAACACATTTAAGAAATTCCGTATGAAAAGAATTAAAATGTGAAGATTTCAGTTCTCGTAGTACTCCTTCTTGCTGCTTCAATAGCATCATCATGGTATATGGGTGATTCTCCACAGACTGCTCCATTTATTGGGTGGGTTTTAAATTGTGAATTTCAGAATTTGTGATAATGATGATAGCTGAATTTGCTGTTGTGAGAAAATAATGTGAAAAATGCACACAGCTAAGTAGTACATTATATAGAGTGGGGACCACAATCACAAGGTTAAATAATGGGATTGCAAAGCTCAGAAAAGGTGGATATTGCAATTAATGCATTTATCATAAATTTGTCAAAGAGATGGGGATGTGGATAACCTGCAAAGAAATAGTATGGAGTAGATGAATTATGCATATGAGAAAGCATGTTTTTCAGTGCCCCGCAGTACGTTCGTCACTCTCACCATAGGTTCACACAGAATAATGGTATACAAGTATAAAGCTACGGTGTATGAGTGAGCACACAGACCTGGCCGGTAACAGAAACAGAAAATGTGATCACAATTCACACACCTCTAGCTGAGTCTCCAAGTCATTCCTTTTACCATTAACAGACCCAAACGTATACTGCTGTCCCGAGATTTTCTACTCTTGACGTGAAGCTATATTTACAGCAGCCCATCATGATAATAGCCTCGTTACTTAAGAGTTGGCTGTACAGACTACAGAGTGATGAATACAAGGCATAGCTAGTTTTTATGGTCCAACATAAATATCCTGCTTCTTTAGTTGGATTCCTTTTGATGGATAAATGCAATTAATTATGGTGCTGAAAAAACGTAGCAGTGAAAGAACGAACTGAGCTTTTGCTGTCGATTGATTGATTATGATTCTGCTGGCCTGAGCTACTCAAACGGACGCACTTAGACTGTTTTATTTGGTAATAAAAAGCTTTATGTGTGTTGTTAATTTTTTTATAAGATAAAGATGTATTTTTTCACTTAAAGTTTTCTCTAAAGAACACACAATACCTTAAAGTATTTTGCTTAATATTTTTTTCTTTTAAGTAATTAAAACGTAGCAATCACTATCCTACCGTTAAATAAGCATGCGTCGGCTAGAGTGAACTTGGTGGGCCTTATTTTCTATGCATTTTGTCTCACCATAGACCCTTGGAAAGTCATATTGTGCTGGAAAATTAATTTTGTTGACCAAAACAACCAAAGTGATTTTTCAAATTTTCACGATCATCCGTTCAAGATTTTTTGACCTTCTTCCCCAATCATGTGGAGTGACAATGACAACCTGGATGAGCTATGCGACGGACATTTGGAGTGACAATGTAAATATCTTAAAAGCCCTATAATAATACACCATCACCCTCACTGTGCGTGATAATGTTTGACCTCTATAAGATGCCCAAAGAGAGACTTGGTTTGTCTTTGTTTTATGTCTCAAAAAGAGTTCGAGAGAGACTTCAATCTTCATTTTCACAACGAATGTTCCTATTATGATTTTGCAGGTGTGAATATCCCTTTCCTCATGGCCATGCATGTAGCCATCTTCTACAACTGTCATCTAGATGGATACCAAGACACCTTCTACAAGCAGTTTCACTGCACAATCTATTGTGATTGCATCATCTCTGGCATAATCGACATCATCCCCGCCAGTGATCACAACGTGACCAGCAACCTCAGCGCTATGGTGTTTTGTTTGTTGAGAGTCGAAGGGAAGAAACATGGCATAGAAACAGGCATGACAGCAATAAAACTGAGCCCCACTTTAACCACGGCTAACAGACGTTTTTTATGACTAACACAGCAAGATGTCTAATTTGCGATGTTTTTATTAGTTTAAGAGCAAAATTCCTACGGCAAAAACTTTAGGATATTGAATATTTCTTGAAAAATACTATAGGAACAAAAATACTTGCACATTTAACTTTTTTTATAATAGTGAATATGTTTGAGAATGGCTTACTTTCATTAAAATAGTTTGAACTATTTAATTAGACATATGCCAAGTAATATAAATTTTTAATTCATTTTCTAATTACTAGAGGAAGGACTTCTTTATCTCTAATATTCACTTTATCATTTTTTTTTTGTTTTCTTCTTCTACTTCTTGCCTAGATTTGTACCTTTTTTTAGCTTATGAGGGCTCAAGTTCATGATCTTTATTCTCTCTATTATTTTGATACCTTGTTTTTTCTCTGTTTTTTTCACTGGATTTTGTTTTTGTGTGTCTTTCTTCCTCTTTTTTTTTTTTTTTGTTTCTAGGTCCAACAATGACCCTTAATATATGTTAAATTATTTACAATAAGTTTGCTTTGTGCTGCATGTGTCTATGGTTCTTAATAATAATATGCCCTAGTTAATGTCATATCATGAATAATAAATAAATCATTAATAAAGGTCATAAATCATTTTTATTATCGTCATCAATATATTAAAAATAATAGGAAGTCTAATTAGTTGGCTGCTTGGCCATAGCTTTGAAGAGTCGCTACATTTAGCTCTGCCTGTAACCCCCCCCCCTTTTTTTTGTACCTGACGCTTTTTATCTACTAGACGAAATATTTTACAAAAAAAAAAAAAACAAGACAACTTTTTTCCCCCCAATTTGAGTAGAAAGGAAGCTTCATTACTAAGAGAAAACTGTACAGCAAAGCGATAAGAATAAACAAATCACATCAGAGCATCAAAATGAGGGAAAGCTCTAATAGTGTGATTGACTATAGTTCTAACTTCAGATGAAATACTTTCAGCAGCGAAGGATTCATTCTGGAAGATGCGACAATTCTACGCCATAACACCGATCCAAACATGTTATATATACTGAGACCAATCTTCCAAGAAGTATCAAGGTAGCTTTTGTAAGCAGAGGCCAAGCCAAGCGGTGATGTCAGTGCCAATGAAATAAGTGTACATATCTGGGAGAAGAATTTTCTTCCAAACATTAGCGGCCCTTTCAGGATCTGATTGATATTCTCCACAGGGGCGTGACGGAGAGAGCATTGCTGATCAAGAGTCATCTTCCTACAATATCTTTCAGAATTCGTGAGTAAACGCCCTTTCATCATAATGACAGTTCTAACACGCTGTGCCTTAGGTAATTTCCATATTTTCGACCAAATAGTTGCTGTGTCGTTCCAAGCAATAGATTGCTGAGTAGTATAAGAGGATTTGACAGTAAATTCTCCATTTGCAGTAAGATCCCAAGAGCAACTTGCCGTCATTGTATCAGTCACATTAATTCTAAATGCTGCAATTTTGTCAATAATTGAGTTCGGCAGCAAATGACGAAACATTTCCCACTTCCATTGGTCTTCGTCAGTAATAAAATCAGCAATTGGTCTGCGGAGACCTAATTCAGGGGTATCAGCAAAGGATAAATTCTTGAGGGGGCTAGAGTCACCAACCCAGTAATCAGACTAGAATTTAATGGTTTGTCCGTCACCTGGGGGCCATTTGATGTGAAATATCGTGTCCTGCCAAATTTTCGAGGGATTTTTCCAGAGATAAGAAATCTCTTTCTACTGACATCAGGATTATGGACATCAAGAATTCTATGTTTTCCTTTAAGAACTCGCACCCACAAGAGATTGGGATTAGAAATTATTTTGAAAACAAGTTTTGATAGACAAGCCTCGTACTGAGCTTCAAAGTTAATGAGACTACGTCCACCATGCTTGAGGGGTTGACAAAACTCAATCTTTTATAGATGACGTACGGTAGTAGCTGTTATAAAATATACCTCAGCACGCGTACGTACGCAACTGTAAATTCGGCAACATGACCGATATTCTTATATATTAATTGCATTTCTTAATATGATTGCAAATATCTTAAAATATTACAAGCGAGCATTTGGATTTCCCTTGACCGCAAAAGAAATAAATAAATAATAAAAATAAAAAAAGGTTTAGTTTACAGAGTGGAAACACAAAATGGGTTGAAGAGATATTTAGAAGGCAGCTTTTCGGGTAGGGGCCCTGTCCGTGGGGAGTCCATTACACTTGAAGGCCCACAAATCGACTTGATAATTGAGAAGGATAGCCGTTACTTATCGACCAAATTACAAAAGGTGACTTTTTGAAGGTCACAACACGTGGTTCAGGTCCCAATTACAAGCACTTTAATTTCTAATTCCTAGAGGCTAAAATAACACAAATACGTCCAAATTTGTTTGGTATAAAAAGTATGTCCAAGTTTGAGTTGTATAAATAAGGTAGAATCTCACTTAGGACTCTTAAAATATGAAAATTTATATTGTAGGTTCAATAAAATTTAAAAAAGCACTGCACGCTCAAGAGCTTTCTTGCAAATTTTGTTATGGATGAAAAGATATATTTGCTTTTACCTTGATCGAAAGTTTATGTATATACAGCACAATATTCACGAATTTTTACAATATTAAAAAATATACAATATATTTAATGAACATTAACTTAAAATATGTTATTCATTATAGACTTTATATTGTTCAAATGTTACAAATCTACATATATTCATTATATTAAGAATTGATGAACATTGTGTTATTCATTATTTACTTGTTTATACATTTTACTTCAAGTTAAATTATATCCACTAGATATATTGTACATTCATAAATATTATATTAAAAATTTGTGATATCATGTTATGTATATAGGCATGCCTTTGAGATAAAGAAAATTATATCTTTTCATTCACAACAAAATATATAATAAAAATCTTCAAACTTACAGTGCGTTTTTAAAATTTATCAAGCCTGCAGTGCAAAATTTTGTGAATCAGGGAATGAGATTCTTCCTATAAATAATTAAACTCACGCTGGTCCAAAAAAATAGAAAATAAACTCACACCGCATCATTTCATCGCCGCGGCAGCAGTTTCTAGTTCCGCAACATCCCGGCTTCAAGCTTCTCTCGTCATCCATATCTACCCGGTTCGTCTTCTCCATTCGTTTCTCTACTTGTTAAAGCATGAACCTGATAATGAAATTGCAGGTAAGAAAGAAGTGAAGAGGATGGGAGAGAATGAGGGGACGGCACGCGTGCTGATGCTGGGCTTTCCTGCGCGCGGTCATACAAGTCCATTGATCCAATTTGCGAGGCGTTTGGCATGGAAAGGGATCCGAGTCACCTTCGCTTCCTCGCTTTCTGCAACACAATCTATTCATCAAACTGGAATCACTTGATCTCTCTCTTATCCACCTAAGATGATTTCACACAGGGCGGGCTTGAGGGCTTTGTCGAAAGGTTCCAAAATGGCACGGTCAAGATCTTGAGTGATTTCATCAACAAGAGCTTGCAAGACTCCAGCCAGCGGAGGAAGGGCAGGTGCTTGATTTATGATTTTGATCTTCCCTGGGCTCTGGATATTGCCAAGCAGACGGGTATTCAGAGTGCTGGATTTGCCACTCAGACACCGGGTGCTATGGCAGCTTATTGTATGCTGAATCTGAAGGTGCACGGTAAGACATTGAACGTGCCAGCTTTAGACATACCGGATTTCTTAGACACCGGAGTTTCAGCTGTGGTAGACGGTCCGGGGTTAGATAGGATTTTCCCTGTTCTCAGAGTTTCATTAAGCAAGTTCGGTAACTTTGGCAGAGCGGATATTTACTTTTGTCAGACTTTTGATAAGATGGAGCACGAGGTCAGTTTGATGACTTAAGGTTTATTTCCTTTTGCTGAAGTAGATTCTCTGGAAAGCACTGATTAACGCCATGAATACATTGCGTAATGTTGATGAACATATACAGGTATTGGAATGGATGAAGAACATTTGCCCCACCATTGCAGCAATATGGCCAATGGTGCCATCAGCTTACCTGGAAAGCAGAATGGAAGACAGCGTAGACTACGGTTTCAACATGAACAACCAAGACCGTAATGCACGTCTGGAATGGCTCGACATTGCATTTGGGAGCATGACTGGCATGAAAACAGAAGAGATTAAGGAAATGGCGATGGTATTGAAGAACCTAGGCCGCAATTTCCTGTGGGTGATGAAGGAAACTGAAATGCCAAACCTTACAACAAACTTCGTGGAGGAAGCATAAAAGAAGGGGATGTTATGTGGCATGGAGCCATCGATTGAAGATGCTGTCGCAGCCTGCAGTAGGATACATAGTGATGCACTGTGGAGCCAATTCCCTTATGGAAGCAATAGTATTTGGGGTTCCAATGGTGGGGATGCCCAGGTTCGCATATCAAGTACCCAATGCGTATTTTGTGGAGGAGGTGTGGAGAGTGGGTGTTAATGCGAAGAAGAATGAGGAGGGGGTGTGTAATGAGGAAGAAATCGAGAGATGTTTGATGAGAGAAGGAAGGAAATAAAGAAGAATTTGATGAAGCTGATGAAGTTTGCTAAAGAGGCTGCGAGCGAAGGTGGAAGTTCTGATAAGCACATGGAGGAATTCATCTCTAGGCTTGTGCAAGGGCCTCCTCATTACTGACTTCAAACAGCAACACTCTTTCTTCAAGGATTATCCATCTCTTGCATCACCTAGTTCAACTCTTGAACCTTTGCTGCTTTATTACTCAGATTGAATCATTTGTGTTTTGGATAAACGTTTGCAAAACTGAAGTTTTCACTAACTTCCGTTTACAAATGAAAGGTTGATTCTTAGTTAGTTAATTAGTATGACATGATTTATATTTGATTGATTTTTTTATAAAAAAACAAATAATGTTTAGTTATATAATGATTCAAGAGTACATAAGGTTTATAATATACACACACACAGGTGCATGAACATATATAATTTGTTATATTTAAGCAATAAAAATATTAAAATTATAAGTTAAGAGAATAAAAATATTCAAAAAAATCATTTTTTTTTACATAAAAACTTAAAATTTTACTTTTAGAATTTTCAGATGTATTATTCTATAAGAATGAAATAAGTAGTTTCAGTTGGGAAGGATGAAAAAAAAAAATAAATCATTTTTAAGATTTCATATTTTAATTATTCTTAATTATAATTATTTATATTTATAAAAGGAATATGAACCATGAATATGCTATCAGCTTCTTGCCTTGCCAGTTAATGTTATTATCTATTATTGTGCTATATTCCTCTTCCAAATATATCCCCCATCAGCCATCACCTACACTTCAATTACAAAAGCTTATACAACGAAACACTAAAAGCTGGTAAATCAGATGAAATTTAGGTTGGAGGAGGAAAAGCCATTTTACTTAACTTTTATCCAAGCAGAGAAAATACGCCTAACCAGCTTTTCCCCGGTCAACTTAAGCTTGGAGCCACTGAAAGCTAATCCTAACAAGTAACAAGCTCTTGGCCTAATATTTGAATCAACTATTGTTATTCTTGTGATCATGAAATAACAGCTAGTATTAAATACTGAAGCCAACTATTGTTAGTCTAATTTTGATTTATTTCAATATTTGGAAACTCCTCCTTCATTATGTTTAACTTCTTTTGCTAGCATTCTTCAACGTGGTTTCCTAACCACGCTGACGGGATATGATGACTAATGAGTAATGTAAAGCCCGTTTACAAAAGACACGGACACCATATAAATAATCATGTCATAAAACCAAGTGTCTAGAGAATCTCGTCTCTGGTGTCGTTATTCTTTAATCAAATTCCAAATCGTTCTGGCAAGGCAAGACAATGCATCTCTATATCGCCAAGAAAAGAAAATACCAGGATATTTACCTGGCTCAGCAATAATTTTTTATATTAAAAACGTTATCATTCTCAGAGCCGCAGAGGTTAAATTACTGATACAAGCTACTTGAATTAAATTTCAGTAACTACAGAAATCAAAGATTAAATAAATCCCCATAGTTCCCAAAATCTTCCCCTAGCTAGGCAATTGAACCGCAGATGTCACATGCACCAATTACAGGGAAGGAGTGTCAATGCATCCTTTTTTCAGACACACTATATAACCTACCTTACAAGAGAATTAAAAACTCCTACACCCTTTCTCCCTTGAAGAAACAGAGAAAAAGGATTAGCTAACCCAAAAGTTCAACCAGACAGCTACTCACACTTGATGGACTTGTATATATGACGCACAAAGAGCAAGGAGGCACGGAAGCCCACTGTCCCAAGCATGAGAAAGAAGCCATAGCAGATGCAACCCATGTAGCCAAAGAAGAATGACGTTTGCATAAAACCAGACATATCTGATCGTGCATAGTAGTAATACAAGCAGTATCCATAGATAAATAAGCCAGTTGAGCCGCCACAAAGGAAAGACCTACCAAAAGACAGCAGCATCAATATAAGAATGCCAGTATTTATAGCCAAAAATTTACAAGGTTCATGGCAAACAGGGTAACAAAATTATAATTGAAAGCTAGTGCAAAAATAAAAACTAATGATTATTGGTTCAAATTTCAATTATTTGGCAAAACTATTATCAAGAAAGAATGCCATGGTTGGGAGACAATTTTAGCAGCATGTGTTATTTTTCAAGAGTCAAAATAGATCTCAAGCTAGAGAAGTCCAAAATGTCAATGTTCCAAAGGAAAAGGAAAAGGAAACGAAATGGGGGGAGAAAAAAAATTCTCACTATCTATTATGTGATCAAAATCTAGGTCAATGTAATTCAACCCTCTAATCCATATACACTATTGAGAAAACTAGTGTAACTGTTGCCACCAGGACTTAAAATACTCTTTCAAGAAAAGAAACCAGATATTTTCTCAGGTAATACTTGAAAACAATTCCCAGTTCAGCATTCCCCCTCCAATTTCCAGCTTTCCAATTTCGATTTCATTTAGTCTAAACTATAACCCATCTAAATGGTACTCAAACTACTAATCCAACCCTATCCAATGTTATATGTATGAAATTTGTACTGTAAAAGATACAAACTCTACTAAAGTAGAAAGCAATGCAAGATAGGATACAAACCTCCACCACCATTCATGATCTTCAGCAGCAAGTTGAAAGTAAGTCAAAGCCACAGTGATAAATGCAGTGACAATCAACAGAATGATAAAGACAATGAAAAGGATGCTGTAGATAGTATAAATCCTGTGGCCCCATACACTAGCAAAAATGTAGTACAGCTCTATGTAAATGGCACTGAAAGGGAGAAATCCAGCCATTGCCATCTGGGGAAGAGTACTCCTGTACCAAGGCAAAGGAGGAATCTCTCGGGGATACTTTGTAGTGCGGCAAGGTGCTTGAAACTCAGCCTTGCTATTCTTACCTGCAATACCACCTAGAACAAGTAATGGTGAAGTTACCAGTGTCCATATGAGGACAATCACCACAATTGTGCCAAAAGGAAGTGCAGCCGTTGCACTATAGGCTATTGCAACTGTGTTAAGGAAACAGAACATGAGGAACAGAGGCCCACAAAAGAGGCATCCTGTGAGCAGTAGGTTTCTCACCTGTCAAAACAGAAAACAAGTTAATAAACCATGCCACTGTTTGAGCTTTACAGCAGTACTCGCCAGACTCCAAGATAATCAGTGAAAGGAATCCATGTATACCCAATTTGTCCCTTCAAGCTGAATATAGAATGAAGTAGCAGTATAGCCAGCAATGCCTGATGTGAGTGCATATATGACCACCAGTGCAGTAAACAGAGCCCCCCGGTTATATGGATAAAACACACCAACCAGCGCAAGAATAAAAATAAAGACCGTGCTGTACAAGCATAAAATATAAAAAGATCAGAAGATGACAAATAGTGGAGTGTATAGTTTCATTTTAAAAGGAAAAAACTTAAACTAAACACAAAAGAAGATTCATACAGAGTGAATAATTGAGTGCCAGAACCAAGCGCAGCAGCAAACAGAGATTTGTTCTTTGGAAAGCGGAAAACATCACCGTGAATGTACTTCCATCCTGTCTCCTCTTGATCATCAATTGCTTCCTCATCTTGAGCATATCTGGTGAAGAATCACCAAAATTAAGAATCATTACATGAAATGCTGTAGATGAACTGAATGAACATCTGCTGATAAATACACAACTCTTACTTCATGAAATCATTCTTCAAGACTCGCATAAGAATGGTTGCTAGAAAACCAGTCAAAAGAAGAACTGTTACACAGGAGTTTATGATTGAGAACCAGTGAATCTCCAAGTGATGTGGCAAAGAGGAAGAGTGAGAGTACTTTTCCATTCTCTTCTCAAAAGGAGTATCAGTTTCCTTCCATTTTACAGTGTACATGAACTCAGCATCAACTTCCTTATCTTCAGTAAGGTCTACCACAGAATGAGGATCCATCCGAGCACTGATTTCAATCACACGATCTTTGTTGTATAGCACATCAAACTGTATGTGCTTATAAAGGAAATACTTGTACTCGCCGGGGTCAGTTTTCCCTTCTTTATCAACTTTTCCAATGAATCCCCAAATTGGCAAGTCATCATAATACATTTGAAAGTAATAATCCTTTTTTACAGCATCTCGGAACTGAGCAACATCCTCTGTTTTAAGCTTCTTCTTGCACACAACCTCAGAGTCTTTCTCCCTTTTGAAATCAAGCGTATAAGGAGCACTCACTAGACGATCTCCGTTTAACACCTCACCAAGAGCTTCTTTTTTCTCTCTCTCACGACCTGAAATGTAGCTATACTCACTCATTTTGAAATCAAATAAATTTAGAACCCATTAATTACAACTCCTTACATGTTAGCCAAAAAAAAGTTAAGAAAGTTATAAAGCATAATTTTCTTTGTAGAGATGGTTCAAGGCACAGGACTTGCATTAAAACAGAAAAAAGTGCATCTTGATGTTTATATTAGAAAAAACAACTTTACTACCATGTGAGCCAATAACAGGCTGCTTAGTTACAGAATTGAGAGGAATGTAGAGAAAAATGATGCTGTAAATAAAAAAAAAAATACCATCCTGGTGCTACGCTAAAAAGTAACAATAATAATGAAATGACACTATGATGGAATATGAGATAATAGCTAATTAGGATAATTAAGATTTATTTAAGATATTAGAATTATCCATTAGAGATATTTGAATAAGAATTTTATCCATTCGTGTTAGGATATATTATTTTATTTTATCGTTATCTTAAATTTGTTTATGTCCAATAAAATAGGATATTAGCATCCTATTGGTATCTTTAAATTAGATTTAAGATTTAGACTTAGATTTATCATTTTATTATTATTTTCTTATTTTTAGAACTTCATAAATAAAGCTAGGGTTTTCATGTATTCAGCTTTTGAATATTATTGAATAAAATTTCTAAGAGTTTTGGCCTTTCCCTCCTTCTCTCTCTCCCCCCCCTCCCTCCCCTCTTCCCGTTTCCATCACACTGTTTGGCAATGATTTAAAAAAAATTAACAAACGAATAAACATAATAGGCATAGCATATCTCATGTTCCATGCATTAGAAACAACATTTGCTTCTTCCATACGTACCAAAACCAGCCATCAAGCATTCTCTCCCATCCTAAACCAATTTTCTTCAAAGCTTAAGTATTTTAAATAATCAGCTTATACATGTCAGTTTATTGTGCACGTCAGATTCGGCAAAGATCAAAGCTTGAATTCAGATACTGACCTGTTGAGCAGAAGGGCAGATCAAAAAATCGATATGTTTCACTGGAATAAAAAAAAAAAAAAGATATGATTATAGCATTACACCCGGCTTCATTTGTCCAGTCGAACT